ACACACACACAAACACACACACGTACACACGTGCACACACATGCACACACAAGTAGGCTTACAATCACATGCATAATATAAATGAGCAGCAATATAAACAATAATAATCGTAAGCTAGATACACACTCAATGTTATTTTGATGCATGCTCTAAGGTCGTAAGTACACTAAACAAGATGGTTAAGATGGAAACATTTTGATAGATGAAAAAACCAAACCAAACCAAACTAAACCAAACTAAACCAAACTAAACCAAACCAAACTAAACCAAACCAAACTAAACTAAACTAAACTAAAGCAAACTAAACTAAACCAAATTAAAGCAAAGCAAAAAAAAAAGACCCTTAAAAAACAACAAGACAACAACAACAATCAAAAAACAAAAACAAAAACAAAACCCTACCAGAAAAAACAACAAACAAACAAACAAACAAACTAACAAACACAACAACCAAAAAACCTAAGTCGGTTACTGTCATTCTACGAATAATTGAACTGGTTATTCTTTGTGGCATGTGCAGACAGTGTCAATTATCAGATTGCAAGCATTTACCTCACAATTCATTACAAATATGTAATCACAAATTTCCTGTTAAAATTTTTAGTTACACCGACTAGGACACACTTACGCTATGTGCACGTTCCATTTGTGAGGCATCATATTGAAATCAGGCACTCGTCAAAACAACAAAATAAACGAAATGGCATATTGGCGTACGTTTATCAATTTTTACTGTTTTTTTTTTTTTTTTTAAAAGCTAAACACCTTTTGTGGCCAGTTAAACATACATTTATGTGTGGGTATTACTGAAAAACGTTTATTAAAGGCACAGAAAATATACCTGTTCAGTTTCCAAAGACTCTTGAGTGATGGAAGTCACCACATTTTGGAGGCCGTTTTCTCGTTAATTTTACCTCTGAAACTAGGCGACCTTCACCTCTTTCAATTGCTAATATTTCGACTGCTATTCAAGATAGATAGTTCCTTTTTATCAAATAAAAAACAAGACAAATAAACAAGCTTTAAGATGACATGTAGAAAGATTGACGAGCACCCGATTCCAACACGCCGAGAGACATTTTAAAGTTGGTTACTATTTTGGGATGATGTCAAATGATATCATTTTTTCGTTTTCAGAACCCCCCTCGAGTGTGAGGGTAATTGCACTTGCAAAGATGAGAGTTTTTACCCTATTTGTGGAGACGACGGAAGGACCTATTACTCCCCTTGCTTTGCCGGCTGCTCGGAGTATCAAGAAGGAGTAGGTTGATAGTAATATTGTTGTTAACCGTTAACGCCTTTCTACGACACGAAAATGCTCAAAATGTGGCAAATTCTTCTCCGCCAGAGTTGGTCTCATTAGCTGTAGCAGAAGCCACAAATCAACTTTGTCATCTTTATTTCTTCTATTTCTCTCTTGGAAATATTCTACTCTTATGATGCTTCTATCTATCAGGCACTGACGGAAGGAGTATTATTATTATCATTATTATCAAAGTATTGTTATTATCATTATTATCATTTCTTCTTCTTTTTCTTCTTCTTCTTCTTCTTCTTCTTCTTCTTCTTCTTCTTCTTCTTCTTCTTCTTCTTCTTCTTCTTCTTCTTCTTCT